GTGTCATTAAATATAATCTATGAATTGCAGATACATGCAAGACAAAGTGGTAGTTGAATTTTCTGGGAAAATGTATCTCTTTTCTTTTTCATTTCCCTTACTTTTTTTTTCCTCTAGGCTTTCCCTCATTTTCCATTTTTCTTTTTTTTCTCTGTGCTTTCTGCTTTCCCCTCCTTGTAGAGAGAGTTGTAGAGGAGGGAATGAAAGGCTGAGATGTTGTAGAGTTAAATTTTGTTGAAATGATAATTTGGTAATTGTTGTTGGGTTTCAAAGCTTTGGTGTTGTTGGTGGTGGTGGTGATGATGATGATGAAGATGATGCATGACAAAAGCTAGCAGTGATCTCTGTTTACTTTTGTTGTCCATAGTGCCAATGATCTCGGTTGAAGTAGATTCTTTTCTTTTCATAAACGATGTCTGTTTCAACACATGTTGACACTTTGCCCTTTTCTTTTTTCTTTTTTTCTTCTTTTAATACAATCTTTTCAAAGCTTTCTTGATTAGATTATTCTCATATTCTGGGAGCTTTGATTACCACTCTGAGCAAGAGTGCGTACTTTAGGGAAAAAAGTTTCTTGGACTGATTTCAAGGGAATAATTCCGCATAAGGCTAATTTTATATTAAGTCCAATTTTCAAAGTAAGACATCAAGACGTCTACCTACCTTTCTTTCTTGGTAAAGACTTGTGTATATTTCACTTGGAAAAGACTATATTTTGGCCGCATTTCTTCCCCATATAATTGAACTTGTGTAGTCTGAATTAAATGTTATTCCTTTGTACCGTACGCACCTATAAAATAACGTTAGAGTAGTTTTCGTCTTAAAAATAAAATAAAATGACTAAATCCTCTACTTGTGTTTTCAGTGCTTTTATAAATTATATTGTGCTTATGTTTAAAATTATGCGGTTTTAGACTTTCATCTAATTATTGTTTGAATATAAACTATAAATACTAAACTTTAAAGTCCAAGACGATATGGTTTTTGGACTTACTATAACATAAGCAGAGAATCATATTTCCTTATAAGCTTATTAATTTAAAGCTCTCTCTCTCTCTCTCTCTCTCTCTCTCTCTCCCCTATAATGTAGGATATATATAGAAGCGAAGACTACGTTGGTGTATATTGAAAACGAGAGTAGAGCCAAGTTTGCTTGCATGATCATTCATCACACCTCCAACTCCAATATGTAAACCAAACAAGAGTGACATTTCAGAGAAAAACAAAATAAGTTGACATGTCTTGACAAGGAACATAGATAGAATAAAAGTGGAAATGGAAGTCAGTTACTTGTAGCTTATAACAAACGACTCCCCAGTCATAACCAGAGGTAGTAACATCCCATATTTTAAATTAATAGAGCTAATGGAGCAACGCGTCACATTTATACGACAAAAAGTTACATGTAACATGTCTTACACTCTCCCTCTTACAATATTCTAGCATGAGACCACTTACTGTGAGAGAGATACACTTGTTACATACAAGTTTTGCTAATCTGAATGCAACCGGGGGTTAATATTCAATCATTCATTCGGATGTTTTCATTTGTAACCCAACTCTTAAAGGTGTGTTGATGCCCAAAAATGATCATTAGAGCACCTCCACTCCACCCCAAAGGGCAAGGGCAAGACAAAGGCAAGGCAAGGTTATTCACATAAATAGTGGCAGCATTACCTTTTTTGGTTCTACCCCAAAGGATAAGGGCAAGGGCAAACACTATTTATTTTAATTTATTTTCTATTTTTTATACTTAAACCATTAATCTGAATGTAATTGGGTGTTAATATTCAATCATTCCTTCGGATGTTTTCATTTGTAACCCAACTCTTAAAGGTGTGTTGATACCCAAAAATGATTATTAGAGCACCTCCACCCCAAAGGGCAAGGGCAAAGGCAAACACTATTCATTTTAGTTTATTTTCTATTTTTTATACTTAAACCATTAATTTTGATAAGATTTTCGGACAAAATTTTATGATTAAATTTTTAGATAAGATTTTCGGTTGCCACGTGTCCATATTTATTACAAATTCACATCTCACTCATCATACAATTAAAATACCTACTCACTCATCATACAATTCAAATACTTCTGGTCCTCATAGCCCGACACAATCAAGTATAAGGACGACTCAATCATTGGCGGAGGTGGTTCCACTGGATCATAACGTGGGGGAGTATTTTCCTTCGGAGGACGTAATAGTGTCATTATTTCCGACAAACCGACTACGGGCATTGTTCACTTGAGGAGCCATGTGTAATGGTTTTCCTCTTTTTTGTTTTGCCTTGAATAATCTATTAAAAAAAAATTTGGAAATGCAATAAATATATTTTAAAAAAAATGACATTAAATTGAATTAAAGGGCAATTATTAATTTTTTTTATCTCGTTGCCAAGATTTTGACCTCTTCGAACATTTGTCCATTATCCTCCGACTTCGATGGAAGAGGCCATTTGTGTTTTTGTGTAACAACCCGGTCCTTAATTAATATTTAATTACTAGGGCTCGTCAATGGGCCGGGCCGGGCTAGCCCGGCCCAACTTTAA